CGCGCAGCAAGGGGGGGGGCCCGCCCCCGGGCGCACTAGTGTCCCCGCCCCCTGGCGCCTGGCGGGCAAACAGCCACGCCCCCTGGCGCCCAACAACCTCGAAAGGTTGGGGACCACTGGTCTACACTCTCATAGAAATGGTGCTCTATAACACAGCATACTTATTGCATTGCTGAATGGGTAAGTAATTTTGTCACAACTGTTTGTGCTTTTATTTTGTGAGTAGTTCACATAATTGTACTAGTGCTTGGAGAACATGGCATGGATTATAGTTTACATTTAATATTCTCCTCTTAGAAGGAGATGTAATTCTCTCAGATTAGATAGTTAACGGTCTTGTCCATCACCATTTGCCTTATATATTCAAAAGTTTGTGTTATGAGACCTGTAACCAAATAAAGTTCTGAAACAAAGCATATTGCTACTGTGAAATAGATCTTTATTTAATTTGTTGTTAGACTTTGGAAAAAACCAGTTATGAAAATAAGGCCACATCTTCACTTCCTGGAAGATCAATGGGTGGTTGATCTTTCGGAGTTCAGTTTAGCTGGTCTAATGAAGACCTGCTAAATTGAACACTGAGGGTGCCCCTGTTGATGCTGGTACTTCTCAAATCACGAGGAGTAAAGGAAGTTGATTGGAGCAAGTTGATTGGAGCATTTGTTTCTGTCAACCTCTTGTGGAGACAGTTCAAATTAAGGTATGTGGACTCCAGCTATGCAATTAGCTAACCTAGAGTTGCATATCTTAATTGAAATTTCTTTGTAACTATAGACATGGCCTCAGAATATTTATTTTTAATTCATCTAAATTTCTAGTTGAAACAAGTGACAGTAATTTTGCATTATCTATAACTAGAGGAATTTAATAATTCACCGAATTGATTTTCTAATAAAACTTATTTTAATCCAGGTTTGAAGTCGCTTCATGCTGTGGACAAACAGCTGCTTATTGTGGCAAATGCCCACATGCATTGGGACCCTGAATACTCAGATGTGAAACTCATTCAGACTATGATGTTTGTGTCAGAACTGAAAAATATCCTTGAGAAAGCCTCCATCAGGCCTGGCAGCCCAACAGCAGATCCTAATTCTATCCCTCTGGTGCTGTGCGCAGATCTTAACTCGCTGCCCGATTCAGGTATGTACAAATGGCTCATCACTTTAATGATGGTGTGGGGGTGTGTCTGTGTCTGTCTCTCTCTCTCTTTCTTTCTTTTTTTTTTTTTTTTTAATATAAACTTGGATTTTTATTAGAGTATTTGAGTCAGCTTTCCACCCACCATTTGCATGGTTATTAACTGCATATCTGTTACTTTTGTTGTGTGAAAGCTTTCTTACTCAAATCTGTTCGTGGTTCAAAATTCCTAACCCAGATATCTAACTCCCCTATTGGAGTGTATATCAAGTACCTTTCAGTGTATTAGCACTTTAAGTATATTGGTTGTGTGCAAGATTTAGTAAATATTGAATATAATAAAAAAGTTTAAGATGTGGGGCGGTGAGGAAGGGTGGCAGGCGGAGGGGTCTGGTGGCAGGAGACCTTCCCTGGTCTGGCAAATTCCCTCATTCGGGACCACCCATGTCCCGAGGGTGCCAGACCAGGGAGGTCCAACCTGTAGTAATAATGATTTATCAAAAGTGTGGTATGCCTATTTTGGACTAAGAGCTCGAGGAGTGGTGATATTGAGGAATTCAGAGTTCAGGGTTTATTGCATTCTGGGTGAAAAGCTGACAAAATAAGGCGAGTGCAGAGAAATGAGATGGATGTGCTGTTGTACTTCTGATCTTTAACTCTGTAATCAAATAGAAATATGGGAGTTAACTTACTGTTAGTGCTAGCTGCCACAGTATGGTTAGCGTTTTTACTGTGTAAGGGTTTTGAAATGCTTTTGCTGTCAAAGGTGATGGCGGTGAACCCCTTTATTATACAGATGCCCTCAGGAAGTAATACCCCATCAAAGGAGATTAAAAGATATGGTCTGTATGTATATAGGTTGTTCTCCCTCTCTTCTTTTGAGGCCATTATCTTTCAATGTGTTATTAACCAATGTGGTTATTTAAATATCATTCCCATTGTATTTCAGTAATTAATTAAAACAAGACATTGCATCTGTGTTTTGCAAACAGGTGTTGTGGAGTACTTGAGCAATGGCATAGTAGCTGACAACCACAAGGACTTCAAAGAGTTGCGTTATAACGAGTGTCTCATGAACTTCAGTGGCAGTGGAAAAAATGGAGCTCCTGAAGGAAGAATCACGCATGGCTTCCAGCTCAAGAGCGCCTATGAAAACAACGTGATGCCTTACACCAATTACACTTTTGATTTCAAAGTAAGGGCTCGTGTACTGACGTTAATTTCTCTTGGACCAAAATTTAGCTGGGGCATTGCTTTGTTGGCTCAAACCCCAGGTCTATCTAACTCTCAGCCCTATTTGAGAGTGGCTGGTACCAGCAGCTTCAGAAGAAGGTGTAAGAATCTTGTAGTAGGCAGATATGGGATAATTGCCCCTCTAACATTAGGTCTCATCCTAATATCAAATACTTACAGGTGGTCTTAACTGAAGCATGAATTTTGATAAGTGTTGACCATTATCATAGAACACTAGAACTAGAAGGGGCCTCGAGGTCATCAAGTCCAGTTCCCTGCTCTCACAGCAGGACCAAGCTCCATCTAGGTCACCCCTGAAAAATGTTTATCTAACCTGCTCTTAAATGGCTCCAGAGTTGGAGATTCCACAACCTTCTTAGGCAATTTGTTCCAGTGTTTACCCATCCTCTTACGAACTTTTTCCTAATGTCCAACCTAAACCTCCCTTGCTGCAATTTAAGCCCATTGCTTTTTATCCTATCATCAGGGTCAAGGAGAATAATTTTTCTCCCTCCTCCTTGTAACACGCTTTTATGTACATGCAGTCCCCGGGTTACATACAAGATAGGGACTGTAGGTTTGTTCTTAAGTTGAATTTGTATGTAAGTTGAACTGGTGTCCAGATTCAGCTGCTGCTGAAACTGACCAGCGGCTGGGCACAAGGAAACCCCGGGGGAGAGGGTCCTGCCC